TGACAGCAAGATGAATGAATGAATGACAAAAAGACCTGGAGAAATGCCTAAGAAAGAAATGGGATCCTTTTTTGATAAATATAGAATGTGGAATGTAAAAGGGAGGTACACAGTTTTCAACACAGCCCTGGATCAGGATATTAAGAAATAAGCAACAGAAGGTGAATATTACTCTTATTAAACAATTATTTAAATTGATACCAACTTAGCAATAAATGGAACTTTGTACAAAATATTGCAACTACAGCAACAGTAAGCCACCACTGTTACTTTATACATGGAGTACTTATGAAATGTTTCTTTGGAAAAATGTGAAGCAATGAGATTTTTATTAATCATAACTCTGCACAAAGGAGCTCAACACTGCCTCCTTGTGGATAACAGATGAGCAAAGCCAGATAAACATTAAATTACTATTGAGGAATGCCAGCTTACACTGCATGACAGCATAGTTTATATGTGGGTATAAAAGGGGAATATCAAATCTGAATTACCCCGACACAGCAGCCCCTTGTAGTACACTGCCAAACCTGCCATTTGAGTCTTGATCAATTAAGAATTTCTCAGTGAATTTGTTGCTAGTTAAGGTCTTTTAATGGGAAATAAACTGTTGGCCAGTCCTGGAAATAAAAGAAATGTATGATTTGACAGTTTCCAACTCAATTAACATTCTGGCAATTTCATCAGCTATCACCTGGTAAGAGAGAGCAGCTGAAAATTAGCCTTTTGACTAATAATGGCACATTTTCAGTGAGGTTGGTTATTATGTATTATTCACAACTGGGACAGTGGTGATCTAAAGGTTAGAGAAAGGACCTCATGAATGGGAGATTGCCAGTTAAATCAGGATTAAATCTGGGTGGGTCAGCTGACAAAGCCAGACTCGCTCCACTGCTGTGGTCCCCTTAACCCCCAACAGCTCCAGAGCTGCTCAGTGGCCAGAAGGTCAGTCTGTGCTTGTACCGGGCAGCTTTTAGACGTGAATGTGTAACTGTGCAAAAGAGAGGCAGCCTCTCAGTGAACCTCCCGTCTAAAAATAAAGGTAAAAAACTAACTAAAAAGTGTTAAAACATGCTGTGTTGTGATAAAGCATCCAGTGCAACACTAATAAATGCTCATGACACTGATTGCTGGGTGAATTTTGAACATGAATGTTTGCAAAATATACAACCATGAAATTCTGAAATTGAAAACATTTTTAAAACTGCATATTATGAAATGTCAGTCTATGTTACTTCTTTTCACAATAATAGCTTACTGCAGATATGTTTTATTCCAGCTGGTTTTCTTTTATTAAAAAGGCATCATAAAACAGTCACTGTGAAAAGGTGCAGGATGATACCATCTCAGAGTTGGAAAAATTCAGTCCTATAAATTGTTAATATGTATTTTTGCACAGTCATTTCATTTCATAACACTTATCTACTGCATTACTGTAGTAGTGGATCTCATTAGATAAAGTGAGGAACAGCACAGGCAACTCCAGTACTGTGAAGGACCAGATAAACAGCTCCCTGCAGGGGATAAATTATAAATCCACATGTTTATGTCATATCCTAATCCACATGACAGATTACAGTAAAAAAAGACAAGTAGAAAATGCAGCGCAGATCCTCGCTTTATTTGTCAACCTGATGAAAGACTACAAAATGCATTCACAAAAAAAAAAAAAATCTCTTTCAAGTAATCAAATCTGTACAAACCTAAACTGCATGGGGTTTTTACAGCTCTGGCTCATAAGAATCTGAAGTCGTGTGTGTGTGTGTGTGTGTGTGTGTGTGAGTAAGCATGTGCTTGCTTTTGTGAGACCAGCTGACATGCTCCTTCCTCTTCATCGAGGCTGAGATATAACACTCAGAAGACAAAGCAAGTCTCTGCATGCATGCACACACACACACGCACACACACACACACACATATACCTGTGTTTGAGATTTTACAGTACAGAGGACAGGGAAAACAAAATACTTCCCTAATCCATGAATACACGCTCACATACACACACACATACACACCACCTGCTGGCAGGGGTTTGATGCTAAATTCATCATGTCAGTGATCTCACACCATCTCCCAGTCCCTGCTTTTTCAGTCAAAGTTACTGTACAGACGGACACTGTGGTTTCAGCCTTTCCACGGGAAGAGTGGTAAGAGAGAGGGGAAAGTATAAATCTCTAATCCTCTCGCACAAAATGTACACATTCACACATGACTTTAATGCTCAACGGCAGTCAATGGCGCTCTGTCATCTGCGCACACACTCACACTCAGATAATTCGTAACATTAAATGTATTAAGAAGTAAAGATAAAAAAGGAAAAAAGCCCTGGGTATAGGTTTGATTTCTGGCCGTTTGGTGAAAGAAAGGAGAAGAGAGGTAGAGAGGGCAGGAGGGATGGGTTGGAGGTCAAGGGCAAACTACTGGTGTCATTTCTTAGCTTTCCTTGGGGGAGTGACTGGGCGACCAGAGCCCATGCCCCCTCCACCACCATAAAACAGCTTCTTGTCTGCAGGTTTGAGAATCTATAAAAGGCAGATGAAGAAAAAAAAAACTGAGCAAAAAGAAACAACACAAAGTTTGAAAATGTTGATATGGTCAGCCAGTTTTCCCAGGATCAGGACCGTCTACGAGGTCTTGTTCTCTTGCTTACCTGGAATGAGCACATGAGGGTCTCATCTACGCTCATCATGGCTCCAGCATTGTCGAACTCACCACAGTAGTTTGGGGCTGAGAACAGTGTCACCAGCTGCCTTTTTGCAAAGAACTCGTATCCGTCCTCGACCACCTGAAAACACATAGATGGCAAGTTGTTTATTGGGGAATTTTCATAGCATCTTACCATGAATCAGCCTCAAAAACAGAACCATAAGTTTTGTAATTAAAGGTGTGGTCAGCAATCTGGCAAAAGGATGTTTACATTTTGATCAGCGTGTACACAAATCCACAAGTCGTTTCAGTTAGGATCTCCTAACCACGTCGCTCACAATTCATGAACGTGCATTACCATGGTAACAACACTAGCGACTGGAGGAAGAGCCCATGCCAAAGGAGACATCAGAAAACTAGCGAGTGCCGCCCACCCCCCACCATCAAGCACACACACATTATGCCATGCATGAGCAAGAGTGGCTTCTTGTGCTCACTGGTTGAAATTAGACAGCCAGTCTCCGACCCTTTTTTGCCTGTTATAGAGCAGGCACAGCACACACACACCTGGGGTTTGTGGAACACACAAAAACTGAAAGGCCAGGCAGAGGAAAGTGAGGAAAATTTAGCTGAATATGACAAACTGTGTAATGACTTAAAGGCGCTGACTATACCTTTAATTCGCTATGGACTTATAACAAAATACATCATAAACACATTTCTGTCGCTCACACCGCCTACCTGTTGTCAGTAAAACTGAACGGAATCCAACTGCGCTGAGATGCATAACAGGTTTTCTGCTGGTCCCACTGTGCTATCGATGCTATCCAAGTACTTCAGCTGTTCAAACTGACTTTCTTCAAATACTCACTAACAGCCGGATGTTTCTTTTATTTCCTTGTTGTAACTTCATGACATATGTGAACACAGGGAGGAGTTGCACAACACAATCATACTATAGGAAAACTAAAACAAAATATTAAATAGACCTAACAACCAGCTTTTAACTTAACTAGGAATCCAACTACACTTGCCGGTTAACCTTGAGCGCCGCAACCAACTATTGCCAGTTTAACAAGGTATACAGAAGAAAGGTGGTCTACCTTTTCATTTATTCATCTTCCTTACCTTGTATTCCAACTTCAAAAACATCTTTAACCTTCAAATCATTGTCTTTCACTGACCTGATGGGCCCGACAAATTAGGTCCATGTCATGTTTGTGGAGGAACTTTGTGACCACATCAGCACCAAAAGTGAAGGAGACACCACGGTCATTCTCGCCCCAGCCCAACACGTCCTTGTCTGGGTCGGCCCACAGCAGGTCGCAGAGGAGGCCCTGGTCAGGAACATCAGTGGGGCGCATGACCCTTCGCACCTGCTCCATAGACTGCAGGTCTGGAGACAAACCTGAAGAGAAAAAAATGTTAGCAAGTAGAAAAACTTTAGATCAGTGCCTGTGATGTTAAACATTATGTTCTGAGGCTGGGTGTTGGGTTGACTGCTTGTTTTTCTTTTAGAAACAATTCCAAACTTGGGCAAAAAGAGGTAGTCTGGGTGGATCTGAGGTGTAACAAAAGGAGCACCAGCTACTGCAGAATTCGCAGAAATCAGACCTGTATGTAACTTATGATTAGGGGTGTAACGATGCATCGATCTGGATCGATGCATTGATTAAACGATGTAAAACGTAAACATCGTCGGACCTTTATTTTGACACCCAGCCACTAGTCACATCCGTATACATTTCCACTGAAACGCTGTTCTCTTCAAACTGAACAATAAGTGTAGGCAGCACAGTTAATATTCTCAGTCGGTGTGGACTGACCCATTTGATAAACTGGAGTTCTATCCAGTGTTTCTGCTATGTACATTTTGCAGTGGCAGCCCACCATTGCAAAATTATTTCCATCACTGGAGCAGAATTTTATGAAATATCCTAACATCTAAATGACACAACTTTGCATAGGACATTTAATTTTAAACAATGGTTACAGGAAGTGGAGACACGAAGTGATACCTGGCTGAGGCAAGAGGGAGAGAAAAAGAGAGAGGACAGTAGATTAAAGTAAAGTCACTTTTGGCTTTTCCTGTTTAGGGATTGCCACAGCGAATCGTCACACTGACGACTCGCATGTTGACATTTGGCACATTTTTTATGCCGGATGCCCTTCCTGATGCAACCCTGATTCGAACCCGGGCCACAGCGGCAAGAGTGCTGCGCCTTAACCACTAGCCTACCAGGGACGGCTACAGGACAGTAGATTAAAGTAACTAACGTTAAGTCAGATAGATTTTACAGTTTAAGCCTAACAACGCTTCAGATGCAATATGTCCAAATTCATTGGAAACTCACACCCCTTACCTCTTGGTTCCATATCTCACAAAGTAACTTTACTCACTGCCTTGTTGTGAATCGTGTGTCAAAATAAAAGAGGTGACCAGCTCTTTCCAGTGATACTAGTATACATGCTAGTCAGTGAAATGAATGTTTGTCAGGTAGTCAGGTTTCAAGATGACATAAAACATTCAAGTGACAAGCTATCAGATCAAATTGTGGTAGATCTGGAGAGTAATGAGCATCCTAGAAAAAAAAAATTATTGATATCTATTTATTATTGCTATCTCTAATATGTTCTCAAGCTTGTTTTGCAGCTGAGAATGGAAATACACACTACTGAACTGAATGGGAGAGTGTGTACAACTTCTGGCTTGTAGTGTAAACCTACTCCAGCACCAAAATGCAATCCCACACAGTCCTGCAGGCCTCAGACAGTAACCAGAGTGCAGTGTGCTCTGTGTGTGTGTGTGCTCTGGATAAAAGCCAAATGAAGTGTTTGATGAGGATACCTCCATGGCAACAGAATATCTTCTCATCAACAATGGCTGCAACAGGCAAACAGTTGAAGCAGTCAGTGAAGGTCTTCCACAGCTTTATGTTGTATCGCCTCTTACCTGTGTGAGGAAACCAGAATTACTTGGTCATAATCTAATCTTCAGACCTATAAACTCAACAGCTGCACCTACTGTATTGCATCAACACATTTTGCATAATCCTGGTTCTGTGAATAGCACAGAAGGGATTGCGGTTATTCACTGCCCATATTGCTAGATCATGCTCCTTAGCCCAAAGACAGGTGTACAGACTAATTAATATTAAGATTAATATGTTGTTACAGCTAATAAGTCACAGTGCATCAAAAGAGTTACAGCTGTAGACACATCTCACTGATGGAGTGCATGCTTTAAAGTTTTTGTTCAACAGTAACTTAGGATGGTCTTTAGATGGTAGTCAAAACATTGAGCAGTTTGGGGGTTTAAAAATTGAAGTGTTTACTCTGCTATTGCTGAGAGTCCCAGTTCAGGTGCTCCATGATGCCTAGTGGCACCATTCAAATATCTGAAAATCATTGCCCATCCCTAACAGTAAGGTACTTATCCAAACAGACAATATATTTATATAAACTAATAAGATGCTTTAAAACTATGCACTGTACAGAATAGACATACACTTGTACGATTCAATGAAGCACATGTGTCTCCTGGATTGTTCCTGCACCAAGGCCTACATGTTTAGACTCATGTGTTTTGATCAAACTGCTGGTAACAATACATAGCAGTGTTAAGATTCATAAGACTGTCTGTATCTGAATGCATGCCACATGACTTACACTCATCGTAGAAGCCATATATTCTATTAATGGAGGCGCACTCATGGTTTCCTCTCAGCAGAAAGAAGTTTTCTGGGTATTTGATCTTGTAAGCCAGTAACAGGCAGATGGTCTCCAGGGACTGCTTGCCTCTGTCTACATAGTCCCCCAGGAACAGGTAGTTGCTCTCTGGCGGAAAGCCCCCATATTCAAACAGCCTCAACAGGTCATAGTACTGCCCATGAACATCACCTGGTGAGAGACAAGCAGTATGGGAATAGAAAGAGCAATGCTGGTCAAAGGTGTGATTATTATCTTACATGTATGTGCATGAGTCAAGGGTAAAGGACTTAGAGATACAGCAACACCTGACACCCAGCAAATTAACAACAACAACATGTGATACAATGATTACCCATGCACGATTTTAAATTAATACCCTGCTATTTCAGTGTTGCTTGATCTGCTTTTTGTAACAGTGAGACTGAAAACTGAATATGCAAGGCCGTGGGAATACTGGCTATTCTCACTGCAACCTAAACTTGTCCGGTTATTGCAATTTCCAGGCTGTTCCTTTAAAGTTGCATTCTTTCTTAAGTGACATCAGCAGTATCACACAGGAGGGTAACTCCAGAGAGACTTGAACTGCAAAACAGCACTGCAGTATTATCCCTTCAGTTCTGTAATTATGTAGCACGGTCACAGCAGTGCACTGTATATCACCCTGAGCATTTAAACAATGTTTTCTCTTTTTAAATACATTTTTCTTTCACTTAACTGTTATTTGAATACCTTCAGCACTGGGTAATAGAAATACATAGCGTAAGGTGAATGCAAGCCCTCTCACAATAATGCAGCACTCTAAGCTACAACAGCCAGCTAAGAGTGTGTGTAAATCCTAAGTTATCACAGAATTCCTTTGATTCTCAAGAACACAACTAAGCCTCACCACAAATCTTGAGGGGTGCCTCAAGTTCAAGCAGGATTGGCTGACTGAGGAAGATCTCTCGGGATTTGAGGCAAAGACCACGGATTTCATGTTCTGTCAGCTGAACATTTTTGCCAGGTCGGGAGCCTTTCACTGGGAGGGAAAAATAGAACATGATTAAAAAACGAAACTGGAAAGAACCAATTATAAAAAGCACAGAGAACTACACTATTCAAAAACACAATGAACTAGAACAAAAAAATATATTTTGAAAATATAACAGTTTTACTCAAAGAATAGTCAAGAACAACCCTAAAATGAAACACGTTCTGAGCAAAATAGGGCAAACTGTAATGAAAGTTGACACACTCATGTGTAGTTTGCACACTTCTCCATCACTACAAACCATTGAGCATATAAAGTGTTTAAAACTGAAATGTGGAAATAAAGGAGTCTATAAACTGCTGCATGCCCATCTAGCAGTCAATCTTTTGTCTACACAATTCCAAAATTCAGCAGTACCACAACAAAATAAAGTATTTAAGAGACAAATGCAGAAGCTGCCTGATGAACACTTAATATCGGAACTAGTGGTCGACCGATTAATTGAGACGATTTACACCATTTTATGTGATCGATGTCAACATTTTCTCTGATGCTCAAAAGAAGGAAAATATGATATCTGCATTATATGTCAGCCATCGGCCTCTCTGCTCCAAAAAATCGGCATTGGCATCGGCCAATGAAAACCCCATATCGGTCGACCACTAACTGGAACAAATAATGACAGTCTGATAGCACCCAGGGCGATTTTACTTGGGGTATGGGGCATTTTCTAAATTACATCTCTATGCCCAACCTACAAATATAAGTCGTAAATATTTACCAAGAATACTACAGAACGACGGAGCCAGTTAATGACTTACATTTAACGTTAAGCTATGTTCAAACACCCGATTCATTTAATGTATGTAAAATCTGACAAATACATTCTGGCACAAATACATTGGCGACAACAAATTTGTAAAAAGAAAAAAAAGATGTAACCTATACCACTTTATCTGGCAGAGTAACGTTACAACATAACTATATCATATTGAACGGGTATTTTTATGCGAGCCAGCGGGAACAACGGTGGTTGATCTGCTGCGAAATGATGCTACTGACCAAACTTAACTGGCGGTCAACAACATGCACAATTCAAATGCTGCCTTGCGTTATTCAGAAGGAGCGGATAAACTCAACTTGCTAACATGGCATAGGTGACTATCGTTGTCTAGCCGGCTAGCTAAAATGGCTACCTCTGTGACTATAAATTGAAGGAAATGCCGACTCTTTCGTTAGACTTACCTTCCAGCAGACGTTGTATAATGGAGTCGATGTTCAATTTGTCGGCTTCTGCCATGCTATTCTTCTGATCTGTTCGGTTTCAAATACCTCCTACGAATTCAGCACCTAGTAACTGTTAATGCCGAGTTGCTGTTAACTCAACTGGTTTAATGTTAATCGGCTATCGTTATCCCGGCTAGCTAGCTAACTAACCTCGGGGTAGAATTGGCAACCTCAAAATTTGAGGCTGAGTGTTGAATTGTTAGAGATGTGATGGATGACATGTACTTCACAAAGCCGCATTAGTAAACAAATTTCCACTAGATATCAGAAATATCTTTAATTAGTAGTTGTTCCTACTGACAATGATGTTCCTGCCGTACATACTAGCACCATGCCATCGACAAAAAAAAAAAAAAGGATAGATGACCGCTGGCTCACAGCGAAGTTGAACGGAAGTGGATTCTCAGTTTCCGGGCTCCCATTGGACAGTTTTTTCAATAGGCGGTACTTGCAATGTTCTCCGGATTGACTGTTTTCAATGTCTGTGAGCATTTATTTATCTCAAAATCATTTTCCGATACCTTATATTTAGCAAGCCTTAAATGCAAACATTTCTCAAACACTGCACGGTAAACTGCGTCCACATGTATTATTGATATTGGTGCTTTATTACTCTATATTGTTGCGTAGTTAAGCGACACCCACGGAAGTGACCAAAATGGGAAGGTTTGCCTGCGTATCTTGGCATGACGCAATGTCCTAGCTCCTGGTAACACCTATGGAGTGATTCATTCTGAAGTTGTGAGATGGCTTTGCTAGCATGCTAATTTTCTATAAGATAAACATGACCCGAACCCGCATAAACGCAAACCTATATATTTTACGCTAATAACACTTTTGTTTACACCACACTGCCATCCGACTATGAAGTTGATCCATAAAGACATTGAAAAAGATAATGCTGGGTGAGTGACTGGCTAATGTTAGCATGCTAACCAGTATGCTAGTTTGCAGCTGACTGTAACGTTACGTGTCATCTTGTCGTGGTAAATAGCCACACGTGGTTTACAGTCACCTGTACCAGCAGAGATTTGGATAGTTTTGGAATATAAAGTGTCTTTTGTAGTTGATTTTTGATAACGCTGAACATCTGCTATCGCCCCCAATAATGGCTTGACATCTTGAAGAGCCTAATGCTGTGATGAAAACTATACCAGACCTGTCACTAACTTGAATGACAGAAAGGCAGAACTTGGTTAATTGACTGTTACTTCTTCAGACAGGTGACCCTGGTGCCAGAGGAGGCGGAGGATATGTGGCACACCTACAATCTGCTGCAAGTGGGGGATAGCCTTAGAGCATCTACTATAAGGTAACCAGGAACCTGTATCACATTTTCTTCTTGCACTCGATTTTATCTTTATAAAAAAAAACACCCAACACTTCTCATCAGAGACTCAACTGAAGTCCCTGTCTCCTGTTCCCATAGGAAGGTGCAAACAGAGTCCCCTACTGGAAGTGTGGGCAGCTCCAGGGTTCGGACTACTCTTACCTTATGTGTGGAGGCTATCGACTTTGACTCCCAGGCCTGCCAGCTGAGAGTAAAGGGCACTAACCTACAGGAGAACCAGTATGTTAAGGTCTGAGATTTTTAAACTAACGGTTGTAGCCATGTCAGATTTGTAGAAGTTTTAAAGTGAAGCAGAGGTCTGCTGTATGTTTTCATTTATAATCACCCAGGTTAAATCCTGTTTGTGAAGAAAAGTTGTGATTGTGTTCTTCACTCTTCAGATGGGGGCTTATCACACTATCGAGCTTGAGCTCAACAGAAAGTTCACTCTAGCTAAAAAGAGCTGGGATAGCATTGTGCTGGAGAGAATTGGTAAGCAAGCTGCTACTGTTTAACTTTGCCATCACAACTACAGTTTTGTTTGATCTGAGCAATCAGCAAAAAGTCTAATTTGTGTTAGGTTCATTTAAGTTCACATTTAACACTTGACTATCAACCATGAACACATGGACTCACAGCTATCTTGTTTATCAGACAGAATTTTAGAGGCCCTATTAACTGCACACTCAGCTGTAGAGAACCATTTTCTCTGCTGATTAAATGAACCAAACTAGAGAAACAGACATTCTAGGGTTACTTTCCACGTGGACTGTTTTTTTATTTATTTATTTTTTTCCTTTATTTCTTCCAAGCATATAAAAGAAAAATATATATATGCACTCATGTATACACACAATTACATAAATAATAACCATATAACCAATACGCATAAAACATCACAACATTCCAATAATACATGCATGAAAAGGAGTAGGAAGAAGTATACACTTATCTAGTCCTACCCCTTTTCTTAGACCGTGGTACCACTAGCCCAACACCGGACACTCAGACCCACAGCAGTGCCAGTCCCCAACAGCCACCATATATCCATCCTATCACCACCCTATCCATTGTACATACCAAACAAACCGCCCCAGCACCGCACAGGCCCCGCCCCATACCCATGCTCCAGCACCCAAGCACAGCTGCCCCGAAAGCCAGGGCCCCCACCCAAACACTGGGCCACGTGTGCCAAACGTAGCCTGCGTGGTACCAGGGAAGGCTCATTTCATAACACCCACCAATTTCCTCATTGACCAATCCCTTAAATTAAACCTAGACCAGCCACGCCATGCACCCACGTCCGGCGTCAAGCCAACTACCCCACGGTCTCTCTCATCCCATTATAATACCCTCTCTTCATCCTACTCTTCATCAT